TGTGTGTGTGTGTGTGTGTGTGTGTGTTGTACTTGATTATTGAGTTTTATGTCCCCTGAAATTTCGTAACTAAGGTCAGCGGCTCGCTCCCCGCACCCTGATCCCAGCCCAGCTCTTGCCTCCCCTGCGTGCTTTCCCGGCACGAGTCCTGACTCCTGAGTCTCTGTCTGTCCTGATACCGGGATCTCTGTCTGCTCACTCCTTGAGCATAGACCACGGCCAGGAGTCAGGGGTTGCAGGAGGGTCATCGTGTCCCCTGATGCACTGCCGGCAGAGCCTCTGGGTGGGTGTGGACATGTGCAGAGGGCTAGGGCTGCACCATGGGAGGTGCTAGGCAGATTCCTTTCCAAAGACACTTGTTCTCAGCCTCAGACAGCTGCTGTGGGAGGAAGGCAGGTGGTCGAAGCCCTGCGTGTGTCTTCGGCAGCTCGAGGGGCCTTGCGGGGAAACCTTGGCCTGGGTCCTGCCCTCGCAGCAGGTATGGCTGTCCCTGCATGCCGGTTCACTTTCAGCAGGTCCCAGGACACTTGCAGTGACTGGGAGGACAGTCCTGCTGCTTCTCAGGGCCAACCTCAGGGCCTCGTCTTCCTCTCCTTCAGAGGCCTTGGAGCTCTGGGACCTGGAGCCAAGGGGCCTCCTTGCCCAGATGCCCCAGTGGGTCCCCTCCCCAATCCTGGGGCACAAGTGAAGCCCCCCTCACAGGAGGATCCAGGTGTGTTTTCAGCAGGTGTGGGTGCAGAGGGCAAGGTCAGGCAGAAGTGAGCTGGCTTACACTGGAGATTCCTCGGACCCGGTGTGGGTTACGCAGACCCCTACACTCGGACCCTTGATGGGGGACTTGGCTCTCACACACAGCTCCAGCCGCAGAGGCCTTGTCCTGCAAGCTCTCGGCAGAGGCCTGGAGGCCACGCTTTAGGGGTGGATGGTGGTCGAGCCCATCCACACAAGGCAGTGCCTGACCCACCCTCACGAGCCCCTGGTTGTGGAAGAAGTTTTGCAGACTTGTCCCTGCTGGGATCGTCACAGCAACCTCATGGACCAGGGCCCCGGCAGCCCCTGTGGTGCCTGCAGGAAAGGTGGGGTCCCTTTAGCCGGAGGGCCAGAGGGCCCCGGCCCCGGCCGGGCCCCCCGAGGCAGCCACCCCATGTTCACCCAGGCCGGGCTCCAGAGCCATCTCGATCCCAGTGCCTGCCTGCCTCTCCACTGGTGGCTCAAGTGGACTTTAAAGCACACTTAGTGCGCCATTTGCTTCATTTTACCTGCTACCATCTCAAGTTGAATTTTAAAGAAATCTTCATGAAAGCCGGCGTGGTAGAAGGCAGCAAGTACTGATTCTCACTCCCTCTCTGGAGGGGACGGAGGCGGACAACCAGCCTCGGCCACCTTCTCGTCCCCTGCTGGCCTTGGCTCAGGACTAGCTGAGCTCTGTCGAGCGGCCTTAGGGATCCAGAGGCAGGTCAGAGTCAGTGAGGAAGTCTCCAGACTTTGGGGCTCGTGAGCTCGCCGATATGTGACCCCCAGAGTGCCGACCCACCTGCCCCGAAGGCAGACACTCAGGCACGTGGAACATTTCCTGGGGGGTGAGGCCCAGGCGCTGTAAAGCAGAGGGCTCCTGCAGCAGGAGCTGTGCTTCGGAAGGGCACCGCAGGCTTCCCTGGGTCCCTCCCTCCATGAGCCCTCCTGTCCTGAGCACCGACTAAGGCAGGAGGGCTGCAGAGCACGTCACGTGGGCTGCGGCTCCAGGAGAGGCCCGAGTCACCTTTGTCTGTTTCTCCTCTCCTGTCTTTCAGAGATCGAGCAGGGCAGCTGCGGAGACCCAGGCGTGCCTGCCTACGGCCGGAGGGAAGGCTCCCGGTTTCGCCACGGTGATACACTCAAGTTTGAGTGCCAGCCCGCCTTCGAGCTGGTGGGGCAGAAGGCGATCACGTGCCAGAAGAGTAACCAGTGGTCGGCCAAGAAGCCGGGCTGTGTGTGTAAGTGAGCAGGGCGGAGGCCTCTTCCGGGCCTCCAGTCTGGGGCCCGTGCTGGGGAGCCTCGCAGGGTGTAACTACTGCTTCCCTCTGGTCAGTGTCTTCTGTCCTCCGACCTTGTGAGTGGGGGCTCGTTTCTGGCAGTAATGTGGACTGAGAACGATTGCTCTGGACATTTGGGGACCTCCTTCAATGCCGCCTTAACCTCTCTGTTGGTCCCGAGGGAGGTTGTGACCACTGGGGCGTGGCTCGCCAGGCGCAGACCCCGGCGTCTCACCTGACACTGCGGTCCAGCAGGGTGGACAGAGCCGGCCAGTCTGTGAGGTTACTGTGGGGAACTAGGACGTAAGAAGTCCCTGCCGTCACTTCCTCTTGTATTGGGCTTAGGGTGGGCCGAGGGATCAAGCTCTCTGTGGACTGTTGATCTTGGGGCAGGGGTTGGAGTTGAGTGCTCTCGTCTATGGAGATGACAGGGAAGGCCTTCTTCGTTTCTCTTGGATAGTCCAACCATGCTTTGCGGCGCGAATGATGTTTTAGTCGTCAGTCACAGTGGGGCTGGCTGGTCTGAGAGTCTGTGTGTAGCCAAGGGAGTTGGGAAATTAAGGGCCCCTGCTTCTCTGGCTGTCACCTCTTCTTCTGACTTGATACTTAACCTCCCCTGTCGCTCTTCTCCTGCCTCGGTGGACTACGCAGGGCCTCTGAGTCCAGCATACCAAAGAAAACTGGGGTCGGGGTTCGGGGACAGCCTGGGTGACCGTCGGGGTCTCTGTGATGATGGAGGTTTTTGGCTATGAGTGAGCGGGGTTGTACCACAATGATTATACTTCTCCAAGAACAACCAAAAACAAAAATCCTACTTTGTCTGACAAAGCTTTTGTGATGACTCACGAGTTTATTTATGTAGGCCTCTTCAGAGGTTTAAAGATCAAATCACTCTTAGATACACACTGAGCAAATCACCTTTACTGCAAAAAATTAAATTGCATGAGATCGACTCATCTACTCCCTGCATGGTGGGGCTACAGCGCCCTGCAGTGCTAGGCTCCTACCCAGGGAGCTGCAGGGTGGGGAGGCAGGGAGGGTCACGGGGGAGGGAGGCAGCGCAGGGCAGCAACAACAAAGGCTCTGGTGGGGACCAAGCCCAGGCAGGGAGGGTGAGCAGGGGCACCCTGGAGGCAGGTGATGGGACTCTGAGACTGAAACTGTAATCGGACACCGTAAAACGAGGCAGGGAGAGGGGAAGAGAGTTGAGCTGTGGGGCAGAGATGGCTACACCGATGGGGAAGCAGGGCCATTGCAGACCAGGGGAAAGTCCCCTGTCCCCCACACCGAGATTAGCAGCTGACAGGATGCTGCGGGGGTCCAGGGAGCTCTAACTTGGGTCTCCAGGGATCAACTTCACCCTTTGGCTCTTCGTAGTTCCAGGATATCTTCCTAAAACCTTCGCCAGGGGCAGGAGACCTCGGCTTAGCATGCCCCTTGCTGCCAGGAGCAGAGCTGGTGGCCTCTGGCAGGCTGGGCACTGCACGCCGCCAGCCAAGGGGCACGAGGAAGCTGTCCTGGGAGGCCGGGGCCGGGCCGCTG